GAATGGGACCTAACCCAATTGTACCCAGGGGCACAGCATAGCCAGACTTACTGCATTGAGACAAAAGAAAAGAATGTGTGAATAACGACTGAAAACCGGGTTTCTATTTTCTATGTACATTTTAGTAACACATTTTTGAAAAAGTATCATTTCTCACTGTTTGATGTCACAGCCTCCAGAAACTGCAGAAGACAAAGAAGAAAAAGAAGAAGAAAATAGAGAGGAAACTCTGGAAGTCCATCCTTATAAACCTCCTGTCCACAAACCTTGGGTTTCTCTTGGCAGTGAAAAGGAAATTGAAGAAGAATCTGTTAAAGACACTGTTACAGAGGTCAGAATCAACAGATGTTAGTAAGTCAAATATCAAAAAACCAAATTAAGTCCCTTAAAAAAAGGTCAGGAAACTGAAAGTTGCAATCCTAGTTTTGCTTGGGGTCTTTGAAGGAAAAAAAAAAAAAAAAGAAAAAAGATGAGTAAGTGTAGATAAGAGTTGTGTGGTTTTTTCATCATTTCTAATATTTCATAGTAATGAGCAGCATGAGGAAGATAAACTGGAACAATACCTCAATATAATTTCCAGTTCAAGGAATAGGAGAAATGAAACCCTCTAGGGTCTAGCTTTGAATCAAACCAAAGAACATACTTCTTCACAAAATATTTAGTGAAGCTGTAGAATTCATTTCCACAGGAATTCAGACTTCAGAAAACTGTTGGATGTATCCATGGAAGAAAAATTAACTAAGGGCTTTTAAACATGAAGTCATGACCTCTGGCTCAGGAAGTCCCTGTTCCACAAATTGCTGAAGGCTGGTGTAATATTTGGGAAATAATGATTGTATCCTTGCCCTGCTCTTATTCTTCACCTTAGCCATCCACTGCTGATCACTGCTGGAGACAGGCACTGGACTACATGGACCTTTGATCTGACCCAGTACTGGCTGCTCTTATATTCTTATACACAAAGTAGACTTTGAGAATGTGAACACAACAGGAACACTTTCAGCTTTGCTTTCCTTTGATAGGGGAAGAGCCAGTGGTTTTGTTCTATTTGAAAGAGTGCATATCCAGACAGAGTTACTTGCTTTTTAGAGGAAACCCCACAATATTCATGAGCAAAGGCAAAAGGAATCTGTGGGGAAGATGCCTTGTGCTTTCAGAATTATTTCCATGCACGACCATTAAGTTAACCTGCAGCATGTTCAAAACTAGAATATGAGGTATTTGCATCCTGTGACCCAGTCACATTGACTGGAAGAGATGAAGGAACAGCTCAAAGGAAAAGAGTTCAAAACTCTCACAAGAGCATTTGTCCCAGCACTTGATGGAAGAGCATTTCTAGCCCCAGGGAAGTTAGTAGTCACTTAGTGAGTAGTCTCATTAGATCATTATTTTCTGAATAAAGTTTGGAAACGAAACAATAAGAACTCTGTTTTCATAATCCTGCTTCAAGCTTCCACTCTGGCACATATGATAAAGATTAATGTACGAACTATTGTAACTATGCAGTACTTCCCTGGGAATTGTTAATAATATTAAGTGGAATGAACATGACTCTATAAACCAACTGCCTTAGGCAGTCAAATATGTTGCCAAATTTGAAGTATGCTTAGTATTTATGGATTTAATAATTTTATTTGGTTT